TGGGGAGTGGTTTTGAAACACCATTGTAAGCTCTGGGACAAAACAAAAGGACTGCCTGACTCCTATGGAAATAACAATAACTGGTGTAGGAGCAGAAGGTGAAGAGGTCCACTTCAGTTGCTCAGTATGTCTCAACCAGGCTTACTCATCCATGCAAAGCAATTGCCTAAGGGCCACAGGCCTATAAAAGGAGGAGATGTGATGGTGGGCTTGGGAGCTTCACTGACACCAACTTTCTCCTGCTGGCCAGAGCAGTGCTGGATCCAGGACTGGTGAATCTCTGTTGTCTGTCTCTCTAACTTTTTTTCTCCTATTCTCTTTCTTTCTGTCTCTCTCTTCCTTCCTAAATAATTTAGTAATGCAAGGCTTAACTCCATTTTTCTCATTGTGACTTCTGTGATCTAAACAATCAGCCTTTATGAGTGCACAGCCTGAGCATATATAATCATTGAAGTATCAGCTTTTACGAGCTATTACTTCTATAGTTTTAATTAAAACTAATGTTCAAACACAGACCTGGAGTGTTGTTTCACTTTAATCCCACCCAGGAGTACTGGATGGTTGAACATTTCTTTGGACCGTAACATCTTAACCACTGTTCCTGGAAGGGCCAGGTCTGACACCAAGGTTGGATTCAGTCATGCCTAGGCTCATCTGTGAGGAGTTTAGAAAGTGAAGGTGTCCAATTTGAATTTCCCTGGGTTACCCAATCTGGGTCATGACAACCAGATTAACCCTTCTCATCCAAACCTGCTTCCCTGCAAGATGTTCAGGCACACAGAGCAGGCTTTCACTTAGGTTTTTGAAATTATGGGGAGTGAGCAAGGCCAGGAGCTGGAGATGGTATGTCAGAAGCATGACAGAGCATCCCACTGTGTTGCACCTTTACCTGACCAGTCTAATCAAATTTTACAGATGACAGATGTAAAAATAACCAGGAAGTTCATCATCACCTCAGCAAGGCAGGGAAGGCATTGCCTTTCCCAGCCCCTATGCCACCAGGGAGGAGGCTGTGCATTGTGACAGACCCCATCAACACTGGCAACATTAACAGGGGAAACAAGATATTTTTGCTGCAGGAAGACAAGAAAACTTTGCTTAAGGAAGGCATTAACCACTTTTGTGCCAGCACCAACTTTTCCAATCTAGATCCAACTCCTCAAAGGGATTTAACTTCAGTCTCCTTTTGTTTGAAAGTCATATATGCTTACAGAACATGCTTAAGGAAGATGGCAATGTGCTTCAACATCTTTTAATAGTCTGAAGAAGTGAATGTTGCAATACCACAAAAGAGATGAGGTCCTTAGTGAATTATGTAGATCACCCACTACAAATGAGACTATTAAACTTGCCTGCACCACCATCTACTTTGTTTATGCCTTCTGTTTCACAGAGGAGTGAATATCTTTAATTACTGAAAATTATCAGGGCCCTTTGCCTGACAATTCAGGTTATGAATCAAAAATCAACAAGGTTCAAGAAAAAAAAAACAGTTACCCAATGCTTAAAAGCACCTCTGAACCTAGAACCAATTTTTCTATGCATAAAAAGCCCATGATCTGAAAGTCCTCTGGGCCTAAGAGATGGAGAAGCAAATTGAACACCCAGCTGGAATACTTCCAGTTTTGGGCAGCTCCTGCAACCCGGTAGTCACAGAAGAGCAGACCTAGAAACTGTCAGACAAAGCTTGATACACAGTGTCATGGACACTGGGCCCTAGTAATCCTGAGGATGGACAGAGTGGGTGAATGTGTGGGGAAAGAAATTACATACCTGAAGGAAAGGAGGAAACACTTTTGTGATAGACCGTTCTGATTTTATTTTTTTTAACTCTACACATTTTAAAGCACACCTTTGAAAATGCTCAAGAGTCTGCAATATTAAAATACTTCTGAGAGGAGGAAGTTACTGAGCAGAATACTGATGAGCCAGTCAGAAAGGCACAGGATTTAGCATTTAACATGTGGTCCTGCAAATTGTTCTCAGCAGAAACAGAAGAGCATGAAAGATTTTTCTTCACCAAGGGGAAGGTTACACTAAAAGTTGCTACGGGAAGGATGTTCAAGGGTGCAACATTTTTGTAACACACCATCTCTTTTGTATTCTGCTCTGTTGTATTTTGCCATTTGGGGGATGGATGGCAGGCAAGGATGATTTTGCAGTCTTCTGTGCTAAGTAAATTTAGCACAGAAATTTTTCCACTCCACATTCATTTCCATTTTCACTTCTCTGTGAAAAGTTCAGTCTTCTTCACATAGTTTTCTTCCTCATATTAGGGCAAGAATTCTGTTTTTGAAAGAAATCAGATCTCTGCTTGGAAATAAAATAAAACTTTTAAGTTAGCATGAAAAATGTTGCTTAATTTTTACAATGTGAACTAGGACTGACAGGTAGATTGAAAACTTGTGTTTACACAACACATTAAGCTTGTTTCTGGGTTAGTGTAGTTCATTACTGCGTTTGTAACAAAGTAAGTAGATGCAGCTGGTCAATTTTTGCCCAATAGGAAAACGTTTGCTTTGTGCAGCTTTGGTACACACATGCACACACATAAAAGCAAAACAGAGAACCCTAACAGAAAACCTGATCACTATGGCTGGAACACAAACAGGAACTCAGCAGCATGGAAAGATGGGAAGGCCAGAAGGAAGAACAGAAGGGTTATTGAGAATGGCATAGCAAAATGCACATTGGGAGACAAATTAAAGTGAATAAATCTTAATGATTCACAGCAGTGGGGCAGAACGGGAAGAATAAGCACAGCTAGCTCCCAAAGGGTACAAAATGGCACTTCCAAACCTAGCAATAAAGCTACCAACCCAAGAAGAATGCAGGCAACGTGAGGACACAATAGCTAGCACCCCTTATCCTCCATGTCTTCACAAAGCATCCCTGAAAGCTATCTTGGAAGCAAGCATCTTGGTGCCTGAATGCTGGGCTGACTCCTGCATTCTGGTGACTGTGAGTGTGTGCCTGAAAGTGCCAGTGTGTCAGTTTTTATATCGTTGTTGCCTCCAGTAGGGTTTTGTGCTGACACTTGCAACATTGTAAAACACACGCTGCAGAAATAAGCTCTGGTCCCACAACTACCACTGCAGTTCCTCTTGAAAGAAGAGTAAAACATTTTTGTCTCATTAGAACTCCTTGTCCTTTGAAAGACAGGCAGACATTCTACCTCACAGTGCATATCCAGTACACCATCTCCAACACTCCCAAGGCTGCATTAGTAATCATAAGGTACTTAAAATTGTCCTCCAGGTGAGGACATTAGTCTCGTATTTTAAATAGTTTGTGTCTGAACTATTCCCCATAATCTGTTTAAAACCAAGAAAGTAGTTTTTGCACCATTTCTTTAGGATGCTGTGGAACAGAAGGGTAGTTAGTGCAGCACAGTGAATAAGGCAGGAATGGCAAAAAGCACTGAGACCATTGTGTAGCTGCCCAAGGAGACAGGGGGACACAGAGGCAATGCTGAGAGGGAAGCCAAAAACTCCTACTCTACAGTACAGTCATTCTGATGCTGGATACTGTAATTGTAAAACACTGAAGAAATGGTGAAGAGCTAGCTGTAGATTAATTACCTTAAGGTCAGCAACTTTAACAGTAGTATTTTTTTAAGCTCAATTCAGATAGTAGAGTTCTTACAGAGAGAGAGGGACAGGTTGAGTGTCTTTACCACTTCCAGGTCTGTTTTGGCATTCTTTGGAAGCAAATTATTTGGACCTCTGCTAGATGAATCCACCAGGCTGTCCTCCATCAAGCTGCTAGGTTAAGTTCCCAGCAGACATCTTGAGCACAACACTCAGACTCTCTGGTACACCACCTCTGTCACACACTGATGAGCCAGCGTAAAGAATAAGCATTTTTTATTGTTGCTTTGCAACATAAAATGAATAAATCCAGTATTCCAAAGTAAGGGGCATAAAAAAAACCCGAACAAGAGGAATGTGACATAACTAAGTCATATTTTAAAACCAAGAGCCATAAGACTCTTTTCTAAGCACTTTTTCCTGCAAAAGAACCCTTCCACATCTCCATCTCACACTGATATTTGTGTAGCCTGCTATTTGACCAGTGCTAGGACAGATGGAAAGAATGGAACATTCATTATCATCTACATGCTAGTGTCAGAATGAAATCTTATTCTATACAAGTGAAAGGGCATAGAGCTAAAAAAAAAAAAAGCCTCTGTAGGAGGACATGGATTAAACACTTCCTTTTCTTTCTGGCTATAATGTCACAGAATAGGACTTGTGAGGCAGGGGTTTTCAAGGTCAAGCCAAGGTGAAGGGCCTTCTCCGAGCCCAGGTAACATCCTGCACTGCAGGCTGCCTGAGGGAGAAGTACACATACAGCTCCTTGTGCCACTGAACACAGCAGCATTTCCAGTCAGTTCTCTTCAGGGACAAAAGATGTTGATAATAGCCACAAGGAAGAGAATGTTAGACTGAGGTGGGATTTCTCATAGAGGAGCTGTATGATGAAACAACCACACCATTAGGATTTTCTAGAAAAATAATTACCTGTAATATCCATTGGGTATGAAATGAGAGTCCCAAGCAGCTGCTGAACACCCAGGCAGCTGGATTAACGTTAAGTATATGACCTACTTCTTCCTCCATCACAAGTTCAGTAATTCTGTCCTTCCACATAGAAAACCAACAGTGAGTAACTGAAAACAAAACTATCGATACTGGTCTTGTGAGCTGTTCCAGTTCTTACATACCCCAAGAATGCACCAAATCAATTAACTGAAAGGGATATTTGAATAAGATCTCCCTTGGTTGCCAGGAAGTGAGATCTTCTTCAAATGTCTCCTTCAATTCACCTCAGAAAGTAAGCATTTTACTACTAACAGGTCCAGATGACCCTGCTTGCAGTCCACCTTACACAGTGGTGGCATTTTTGTTTAGACTTATGTGGGGAAGAAGAAGAACCGTTTCCCACACAGTCCCACTGGATAAGGATGTAGCCTGCAACCTCCTCGGTTGTCTCTTAATTCACTGGCCTGGCTTTGCATTTGCTGGGCCTTGAAGTGCCTGCCTGAAGACAAGCTTCTTCAGCTGATCCAGTTTATTGTCTCTTAAGGCATCCCGTATGGCGCTGAAGAAACTGAAGTAGTGCTGGAAGTTGTGCATCATGAGCAGGACACCAGCCAACAGCTCATTGGTCACGAGGAGGTGATGGACATAGGCACGAGTATGCTTCTGGCAACAGTAACAGGTGCATCCTTCCAGCAAAGGGCCAAAATCATCTTGGTATCTAAGGAGGAAGCAGTCGGATAACATCAAAGGTCAGAAGACGCATTCAAGCCATGAAGAATCTGCAGTTACTACACAGCCTTTTGTAGAGACCTGAGCCTTGAAGACTCGAGAGCATGAACTGAGCTGCTGTAAAGACGCACTGACATCTAAGACCAGCCTCACTGGCACAAAGGACTTCATAGAGCATGTCAGAACTCACCACAGAGTCAAAAGGCCACACACCTAAGTCAGATGACAACTTTTGACTATACCACAGCTAAGAGCAGAGAGAGGCCTTACCAGTGCCTTCCCTGACAGTAAAGCTGCAGTTGCAAGACACACCTCACTAGCTATCTCACAGTCTGTGCAGGAGGGAACTATCAGAAACAAGGATTTACTGATTCCACTATTCACAAAACAGTGTTCCTCTCTTCTGTGAGATGCACCATTCACAAAAAGTGGAGAGAATATTGAGCAAAGCATCGTAGCTGTCTACTCAGACAGCCTAGCAGTAGCTGTGGAAAACAGAAGGAAGAACAGGTATCAACACTGCCCAAAGTTTTTGTGAGGTATCCAGAGCTTTCAGAATTGCTTTGCAGCTGCCCAAACTGAGTCAGAAAGTGGAGGCTCTCCATAGTTTAAATAAAAGTTAGCATTTCAAGATGACCCAAGTAAGATGCAGAAGACAAAAATGATCCCCAGACAACCTTTGTGAAACTACTGTCTTTCACCTGGAACACAGTTATAACCACAGTGTGTCTGCTGGATAAATTACCAGAAAATCCCTGTCCTTAGGTCAGGCAAAAGACAGCATCTTCAGCCATACACTGTTGCCTGGTAACAAGCTAGAATACTTGTCCACCACTTTCCATTCAAGGTCCCAGAGTACTGTCTTCAACACTTTTATGTTTTATGAAGTCTCCCATCCACGTTCTGACCACATGCACTCATATAGAGAACATAAAAGCGTAACACACAGTCATACAGCTGCAGGTACTCTCCTCACAAACTCATGTACCTTTTGTCCTTCAGAAATATCTCAAATGGTGTCATTTCTGGGTCAGCTTTGAAGATTTCATCCTGGTCTTCTTCAGCACCATCCTTCTCCAGAACCTGCGCCCCATTTTGTTGTAAAACTGTTTTAAACAAAATGAAAAGACAACACAGCCTTTTTACAAACAGACAGCAAGGGCAGACAGAGGAAGGCTAGCAACCCTGCAGCAGGTATTTCTGCCATTTTCTTGCCAGATGAAAAAACTCCTGCCATGTTTCTACCTCTTTCCTATAGTAAGCAACTATTTTTCTTCAATTGTCGTAGGTTAGTTAACACAATTTTAGATTATTAAAAGAGCAAGAGACAAGTGAAAACTCATCTCCTGTACCTACTGAAGAGTCAGAGCTGAAACAACAGTATGACTTTTTGCTGCTCTACTAAGCTGAATTCTTAATAAAATGTCAAAAATATTTCCACTCTGAACTGCATATTGAATAGAATGCAATCACCTAACCAAATTGATTTTATTGAAATTTTGTTAGAGTAGACAGGTAACTCATCTGCATTAAATCATTCTGCTTTCCATGCTGTCATGAGGCTCAGAGATTTAGATGCTTAAAAAAAAAAATATTTAAAAATTGGGATGGAAAGAGGCTGGTTGCATTAATGCAGAAGATGTAGGTTCCACATCTGCTTTTTCAGCAGTCTACCTTAAAAATAAAAGATCACCCCAAAATTTTCTATGTTTGCACCTTTAGGTTTGTTCTTAAGCAGGAAGTGGATCTGGAAATATCAGTATTACTGTTATACAATCCCTGTCTACTGAGTGTTAAACAGATACAGAAAAAAGAGATTGTCCTTACCCAGAATCTTGCAATATAAGAATAAGGTGAGTCAAGGTAAAGAACAACAAACAAAAAGAAGCATTAAAAAACAGCACCAACCACCAAGAAACAAGATCTTCTGCTCTATTCAGCTGGTTTTGAACTACCCAGGCATGAAAAAAACACTAGGTTCTACCCAGGAGGAAAAATGTAAGATGCTTTGCTGTATTAAAAAAATTGAATAGGCTAAAACAAATGGCCCCTTGAGACAAACTTAATAGATGCTTTAATGGGTGACACACATGTTCCCATCTCACAGTGTAATGAAGTAATGAGTTATGAACATATCCTTTTTGTTTTGATATGAACTGATGAATGCAAGGACAGAGAGGAAAGTTGCCTACAGAAATGGGATCCCTAACTCTTGCCAGCTAGAAAGAATGAGGAACTTAAGACTGTATTATTTAAACAGACACGTACTCGGTTCTAGAGGTAAGTCAGATCAAGTATCTTAGATCTCCACTTAATAGGCCCAGCCTTCACTGCTAATGGCAACAGAAAATTTGCCAGTGGTGTCAAACAAAACCCCCTCTATTCAGTGTTTAAGAAATATTTAAGCATAATTTGGGCTAATGAGACATTCAGATCATAGGCTGAGGCCTCAAGTTTGCCTTAACAGGTTTCACAACAAAATACCCCAACCCCTCTATTCTGCCTTGGTGAGGCCACATCTGGAATATTGTGTCCACTTCTGGGCCCCTCAGTTCCAGAAGGACAGGGAACTGCTTGAAAGAGTCCAGCACAGAGCCACAAAAATGATAAAGGGAGTGGAACATCTCCCTTATAAGGAAAGGCTGAGGGAACTGGGTCTCTTGAGCTTGGAGAAGAGGAGACTGAGGGGGGACCTCATCACTGTTTACAAGTATGTTAAGGGAGAGTGTCAGGAGGATGGAGCCAGGCTTTTTTCAGTGATGTCTAGTGACAGGACAAGGGGCAATGAGTGCAAACTGGAACATAGGAGGTTCCATGTAAACATCAGAAAAAACTTCTTTACTGTGAGACTGACAGAGCACTGGAACAGGCTGCCCAGAGAGGTGTGCAGAGTCTCCTTGGCTGGAGACATTCAAAACCCGCCTGGACACGTTCCTGTGTGATGTGCTCTGGGTGATCCTGCCTGGCAGTGGGGTCAGACTAGATGATCTTTCGAGGTACCTTCCAACACCTAAGATTCTGTGATTCAAAAGCAACTCTTGACAGTAGAATTGCAGTTTTTCCAGTGGTTACTGCTCTTACTTTGGAAAAAAAAAAGCTCAAATGTCAATTCCTCCAAAGCATGCATTATGCTACCCACAATACTGGCTAATACACTAAAAATGACAATGATCATCAAGAAGCCTACCTGCTGCTTCAGAATCTGGATGACAGTCATAACTGAAAACCAAGGCACAGCCTCTCTCTGTCACTTGGAAGGGAAAGAAGCTCTCAAAAATGTCCACTCCCCTTTCAATGCACTCAAGCACCTCGTCTGGTTTGCCTATACCATGGATGATTCTGTAAGAGACACACAAGAAGAAAAATTGAGCATACACTGAGTAGAAGCAAGCAGGTACCTGAAGGAAATGACACATGAGCAGCATGTGTAGCTTATTCTCCTGCAACTGTTAACCAGAAGGCAAAGGGGTACAACTATCATCACTCAGAATCCTGCGTGCTTCCATTTCCCCACCTCCAACCTACCCAGTAGCTGGCAGGCTTTTCTTTATCTGCCATTTGGAAGACAGCAATAATCCTTCATTTACTGCTAAAAAGCTTAACTCTCTTTGAAGTGATTTGGTTTCTTCCACACACATAAATACACAAAATTCATCTAACATCTATGTCGTAGAACAGAACTTTTCCTTAGTCATGTTTGTGCCCCAGGGAACTACTGGTTTCCAGGCACAGGGACTTCTTTCCTTGGTAACTGTTTAAGAGACAGTCTAAAAAGACTTGATAAAGAGCAGCAGAGACAGAAGTAGATGGCTGGTCAAAGATAAAAGTTCTTCAGATGACAGACACATTGTATAGCACTTGGAGAACTGCCTGCAGGAGAAAGCCCTAATGAGAAATGTCATTGGAAAGAAAAGTTCCTTGCATTATTCTTCCTCCTCTTTACACTCTACCTGCTCAAATGATTTACCCAAAAGCTTGGGCTGTAATGTCTCCTGGGACATGGCATTAAGAGCCAGGAAGAGCCCAGCTGGATTGCCATCAGTGGTAATAAAACGATCTCGCTGCTAGCCAAATTTATCTGGCAGCTTCCTTGAGGGTGGGTGAAGCAGAAGAGAATGGAGAAGTGCCTGATCTCCTGCAACTGTATGGCTGGGCTGACAAGCAGAAGCTAATGTAGGGCAATGATCTAAACAGATAATTAGGAAAACACACAGGGACTGATAAATGAAGTCACAAGGTGCCATTTTTAGGCACTTTTCTAAGTACTGCAATTAAATGGATGAGCACAGAATAAGGATTGGAGAAGTTTACAGCACAAGAGTCTTATGTATCAGACTCTCATGGCAGGGAGAAAATCATAATAATTAAAACAGCAGCTCTGCATATATGATCAAAATGCTTGCTAAAACTTATCTTTGCACAGGTAAGGAGAAACATTTGCTCTTGCAAGAGTTCTAATGTTATTGAAAAGGAAAATAAATTTTACCAAGAGGCTTCAGAACATTTAGATATATGAAAGGACTCCAAAGGGTATATTTGTAAGATCATTTCACCATCACATAAAAAGCTGTTCTTCACTCAAGAAGCAATTGAGAGTGTTTGTCTTCTAGAGGATTTCATATTGGGGTAGAACACAGCTGCAAAACAGTTTCTCCAGCCAGAATGGTAAAGGTGGCTCTTAAAAGCAAGACTGTCTGAAATTCACTTGAGGTACATATCAGAACCCCCCTACAGCTAACCAGCTTTTTTCCTACAAAGAGGTGAGAAACACTTGTCCTAACCAGACAAGCTGTCCTGGTTTGAGCCAGGATGAAGCTATTTTTCCTTTTACTGTTTGGATTTTTCCTTCAGTAAGCTTTCTTTTAACTAGTAGCAAAGTGTCCCAGCTTGAGCCGATAACAGCTGGAACGTTTTTCTCACTGCTGGGTCTTCAAGGTCACACCTTTACTCTGCCAGCTCAGACACTACGAGGAGATCTATGACCCCCCATAGGAGGCTGAATTAGACAGACAGCAAAACTGGCCAGACATATTCCATTCCATATATCTACATAAGCTCAGAGGAAGGTCAGAGATCACAGAAGACAACTTCCTTCCTGAACATATTTGTATATAATTGTATATATTTTCTTATATATCATTAGTGTTTAATTAAAGCTGTGCAGTTTAGTCTTCAATCTAGCCAAGTCTCTCTCTTTTTCTCTCTCTCCTTCCCTACCTGGGTGGGAGGGGATCAAAAGCATTGTTGTCAGACCTGAGTCAAATGGTGACACAAGCAAACCGTTTGATAGATGAGGCAGATACACTGGTAGCCACTAAGGTTAGCCGAGCAAATTGGACTCAAATGCTCCCAGGGGATCTTTTTAACTAGCTCAACAAGACAGGACAGAAACAACATAGCAAGCTTTCTAATTGTCAGGAAAATTCAAGCCCCAGGCACAGTTAAGCACGAACAAGCTACAAAATCAGATACATGCTTTCGCATTTGATTTCCTTTTGGACACCATTAGGTCAGAGCAATGCTCAGCTAGCAGAGGGCAGCACAGCTACATAAAGATGAGGCCTGAGTCACTCGCATCATGAAACACCGAAAAAACCACCCATACTACTTCTGTTGCAGCTGCTCTTGTAAGAACAACACAGGCAAAAGCCGGCAAGCTCAACCCAACGCTAAAAAACCTCTTCACTTCTGAAACACTGGCAAATACAGCACACATTTTCTAGAAGTCTTTGGTTACTGTCTGTCCTTCGTTAGCATCAAGAATGCTGCTACTCTTGTCCAGCTGCTGGCATGGATCTGATGGGCATAACTAACAACATATCATGCACAACAATCCCCACACTATGCCAGCCCAAGCAGAGAGAATAATTGTTTTGGGCCAGCCTGTACCACCTCTGGTAGTTCACAGGCTTGGTGCCTCAGGTACTACTACATCAGAGCTGGTTGCTCTGCTGTAAGCACTGGCTCGTTCTGTCAATATGCCTCTCTGCACTCCTCCAGTTCAGACCAGAGAACTGGAAACACGACAATTTTCTGAGAAGAGATCCCTGTAAAATAGGTTGATAATAACGTTTTTGTTTGAGCTGAACTTCAAGTAAATCATGGCCTAAGAGGCCAAATGCAAGCAGCCCAGACATATCCTATCTGTAAACCTTCATAAATAAAGATTAGTTTAATTAAAATGTGATTATTCTCCAAACGCTGGGAATACTCAAACCCACAGTGTGTGGGCAGCTTGGAGTCAGTTGCAGCTAAAAATTGAAGCAAGGGTTGAAGACTGCAGCCTGAGTGGTAGAATTTATGCAGCCTGGCAAACACACAGAACTGTGCAATACAGTGATTATTTCCTACAGTGATATTACACAGCAGCCTGTAGATGCTGCTTGTAACAGGACAGATGGATTTCTTGGGACGTTGCCCACACAGCTTACCTTGGTTTACCCTCTGGCAGCTCTGCTGTGACAGAAGCTATCAGGTTCAACTTGGTCTCCTTAGCCATGGCACATCCCTGGAAGCCATCGAGCAGAAAGCCACCCACAGGTCTCTTGGCAGTCTCCCTGGCTGATCGGAGTCTCTCTTCCAAGATATCTCCACCTTCAATTGCTCCAAACATTACACTTCCTTGTAGTTCCTGGCCCAGGAGAAAGCTACAAGTGTTAGAACATGCTCTGTCATCTGACATCTCACAGCCCAGATTCCAGATGCCTGCTATTTAAGCCCCACATTCCCAGGAACTTGCCAGAGCCAGTGTTTCATCCTAAGTTAGACTATTCCCCACACAGCACCGCAAGGTCCAAGTGTAAGGTGGAAACGACGACAGGAGAGAAAAGATTCTGCTCCTTACCTTGACACAAACTCATTAAGAATTTTGGTGCTGTTCTTCCCACCTCCCTATAGAAGGTAATCACCACAGATCATCTTTGTATACAGCTTTTTATAGATGGCACTTCAGCACTACATGTGTCAGTGCAGAATACCAAGCAGGTGCCATCCTGGCTGTCAGACACCAGGTCTCACAATGAATTGCCTTTCAGAGAATGGCAGTATCAGCTCCTGTCACCCATTTTTCCTTCTAGTACAGATTCAGACAGTAGATTTCCTTTCACCAAAAGGGAGGGAAGGTTTCAAAGCTGCTGGAAGAAACTGGCAAATTCTAGCAACTCCTCCCTCACTTGGAACTGATGTGATTTCAGAGCAAAATTATGGGTTTTCTCAATCTGAATAAGAAGATCCTACTCTGACGATGTATATAGCATGAAGGTAAGTGAAAGAAATGCACTACAGCCCAAAGTAGGGGGGGAATAGTTCTCAACTAGGAAAGATGGGTATCCTGGTGCAGGAGGCAAGTTATTAAAAGAGGAGAATGGCAGAAGGAAAAGCCATCGTGCTACCGGTTATACTTCACCAGGAAAGTCACCTTGGGCACTCTCTGATGCATAACTGTGACAAAATTTCCTATTAAATCATGTCCTGGGACTTGCCCAGATGCAGCAGAGACCAAAACACATCTATAGAGCTATTGGCCCGGTATTATGGCATCCTTACCGGTGATTTTTCTAGCAGTTGAAGGCACACATCCAGGAAAGAAAGTGACCTATCCACAGACTTCTTGGCCCTTTTTCTACTACCTTCCCCAGAAAGGGTTTCTCCATCAGAGATGCACTGAAACCAATCTGGCTGGATGGCCCGCTGTATGTCCATGAACTTGGAAGCTGTCACTTCCATGCGCCCCGAGTTGCCCCACAGGGACACCGTCTGTCAAGGGAGAATAGGGATGAACTTTAGTTACAAAATATAACAGATCTTAGGGCTCAAAGGAGACAAAGAGCTGGTCTGGTGAAATACCAGATAGTGGAATGATACTTCATAGGTAAGTTCTCCAGGAGCATGATTCAGACAATCAGCTGCACTTGGCACAATGAGTGAAAGGAGATAGATGGCCAAACTGGGATTTCTGGGATAACCTTTGTTGAAACCATCACATTCAACAGTTACTTCTCCATATGTTTGGAAGTCTCTGAGATAGTGCAGCTGGCCTATCATCACACAAATTAGAGGAAGAAGTGGGGGAAAAAAAAAATAATAAAAAAATTGTAATCACTATCAAACTTAGATCATCATCTCATGAAAAGCAGCAAAGGCTGCAATGGGAAATATAGCTCACTAGTCTTCTGTACACAAAATACCAAGCACAGAAGAAACACACAGCCTTCAGCCTGAGCCAAGGTACGATTTCACACAATCTCCTCAGTCTTTACAACCACTGTCCACTTCGTGTACACACAGGCCCCCATCCTCCATTGTTACTACATGCTACCTTTAAAAGATTTTAAAGCAAAACTAAAGCACCTGTACCGTACAAAAAGGTTATGCCACCTGAACATCTCTGAGCTAGTAGATGCCAGCATTCAATTCACTAAACATTCAGACTCACAAAATGCTACTGCAGCCACTGCCAGTACACATGCTACCGTGGTTTACCCTATTCTGAAGAATTTGTAATTGACCTGTGAGTGCAGCTTGGCAGTTGCTTTTATAGTATTTTTGTTAAGACTTGTGACACCACTGTTCCAAAATTTTAAAGGTGTATTCAAGCAGTAAGTATTGGGCTTGAGCCTTTTAAATGTTAGTTCTTTTCACCTGTAGCTCCATTAGTGCTTTTTTAAAAGAGGAATGCTTTTCAGCTATCAGAAATAGCTTATAGCTTGAAGTGTTTGGGGGATTTTTGAGGGCTTGAGGCTTTAAACGCATTCTCCTAGATAACGTCAGACAGATTAAGAAGTGCAGTTTTCATGCATACTAATTCACAAATTTAATTTTATCAGCTGATGCAAAAAATATTAGCAGAATTATTATTTTTTTTTGGTCCTGTCTCCAGAAAACCGAAAGGATTGCATAAATACACATCTGTTGACCATCAGTCCACCTCTCCTCATTACTTGTGGACTCATCAATCAATTTCACTAAATTTGAGGAACGAAGAAAGAGAGGGGAGTCTCCAAAGAGGTAACATTTTTGTGAACTTCCCATTAATTTAAAAAAAGCAACTCCAGAGGAAGATCTCAAATTAGTATCTGCAGAGTGACAAGAAGGCAGCAGATGCATGTTGTTCTGCAGCAGCATGTTGGCCAGTTAGTACCTGCTGCCTCTTCTTCAAGAGCATCAAGGAACAGCTGGTTGCCAAAGGGCACAGAGTGTAATCACATCTAGTTAGCCTCATTCTGTTCTCTAGAGGAAAAAAGCTGCTTTAATACATAAAACAGCCATGTATCTTCGAGAACTGAGCATTACCCCATGATTATTTAAATCCAGCCTGTGCCAGGCTTTACAGCACATAATCCAGAGCTTTCTATTCCATTGTTTTCAAAAGCTTTCCTAAGTCTTTGTCAGCATAGATCCAGCTGCAGAAGACCTTGCAACAAGGTGGTAAAACTTTTCACCAGCTTAAAAAAAAAAAAAAAGCCAAATCAATCCTGCAAAACCCAAGCTTAGATGGCTGCTCTCACCTCACAGTTGCACAGTGGTGAGCTTCACATAATTCCTTCCCTGCCAAAAGACAGGACTCAGCCTGGTTCCCAGCAGCAAAGAATATAAACAGACAGCTGGATGGCAGCAGTTATCCTCTGTCATTCAATGACTTTTCACCAAATATGACCATACCCAAAAGGACTGGCCATATCTGAGCAGGTTTCAGGAGTGGCCCCTCCAGGCCAGAGTTGTGGCAGGCAGCAGGTAGCACATGGATCACACAGGGAACATGCGTGCCTGTGGAATGGGATGGGCCAACATCTGCAAGACTACACAATCCTGGATCGCTGAGCCACCTTCTTGCAGAAATACTAATTTCTTCCCCTGTGGGCCTGTAGCAGACTGTAAACACACACACAGAGGTTCAGGTTTGCTGCTTATCAAGGCATCACCATAAGCTTGTACATCATATAGGCTAAAACACATGTATTTTCTTTTATTACCATATTAACCACAACAACATGACAGTCCAGAGCTCTCCTTTCTACCTGAATCCCACGTAACTCTGGGAACTGTTCAAGGAATGCACTGCCAAGTAAGAAAATGTCCAGCTTCATCTAGTTGGAGGTATGAATATGTAAATTACATCCCTCTGCAAATATTTATTCTTCTACAAAGCATAAAAAGCCATCTTGTAGCTGTCTAAGCACACCCACACAGATGAGGGGAGGACTGGCAGCTTTCTTTTGGGGACTTAAGTTTCTTCTTGCAAATCAGTTACTGTACCTTGTTAGTGTTGTAGCCAGATGGACAGGGAGCAACTGGGTCATGAAGGGAGCAGTACAGCACTGTGTCTGGCATACCTGGTTACAGAGTGACAGAGCAGAGTTTCATGAACCAAAACAAAGCCAGTGCAAATATTTGGTTTGTAAATCTGCAAAGGGAAAGA